AATATGGGGATTACAGGAAAATACAATTAATGTTGAGATTATCAGCTACTTTAAGTAACTACCTTTACAGAAGGCAAATTTTCTACAAATTAGCAACATTTTTTTCTATAAATATCCAAACAATAGGATGCCAGAATCACATCGGATATGTCTATATCAAACTGCATACTGATATTTATCAATTTGAATTTCAGGTTAAAAATACGAAGAGCAATAGGTGTTTTCCAAAGGAAATCCCTTCTCTTGTCCTCTTGGCATAATATTTACAAGAAAGAGTATCATGGTTCTTAAAAAGGTAGTTTAGAATGTTTTGGAGAATGAGTGCAGCACCTTTCAAAAACAGACATGTTGGTTTTCAGGAAATTGTAGCAATCTCGAAAAAAGACACAACTGTTTTAAAGAAGTTCTACAATTGTGCCCTTGTGTTTTTGGAAGCATTGCTAATCTGAATATGTTTTGAAGTATACATAGCTGTAGTATTATAGTACCAACATAAAAATTTCTGGCTTATGAGCAATATGATCTTTCCTTCCTTTTCTTCATCTCATGCCTCTGTCATATCTGTCTCAAATGACATACAGTGACTATATGTGGTAGAGAGAATTGGTTCTACCAATCATAGTTTGCAAATTTATTGTGTATGCATGTTTGATTCCAGTATGGCTCCCTTTGTTTGGTGATACACATACACAGAGAATAGATAGATTTGCTCATATATGAACCAGGTCTATGTTGACATAACAAGTCAGCATTTCATAACATAAACCATGTTACAGGTTTTGACATATAAAAGCAATATATGAGTATCATGTTTGCTCTATATACTTATATTTTTATACATGAAGTCATTTGCATATGAAATCTAAAGAGGATTTAAGGAAATTCATTTTTGACCTTCTGATAATTCATTCTGTTATTGTAAACAAATAATTTTATATATAAAATTATGTTTTACATAGAAAGAACAATTAAAATTAACTAACAATTCCCATATTTCCATTACAGGTTGCTTATTCTAGTCCTTGTCAATCTGCTGTGGGTTCTTAATTAATCATTTTAATTAATTAGTGTTTCTATGTTCTTAACAAATGTTACTCTCAAAATTATGTGTGTGCATGTATGCATGCACACACATACATATATTATTATAGTTCTATCTGTATATAATTAAAAACCAAAACACAGTCATTTTACTCTTTGAATTTATCCTGTTCATTTTCCCCAAATATTTACCACAGCCATGGAGCCAAAAATAATAATAAAGATCATGATACAACAACTATTGATTTTGTAGTTATTATGCTTTTGTAATTTATAAATTCAATATTTATAAACCACTAAATTTTGCCTATAAGTCTGGCAACATATATAATCAAACATAGCCCACAATAGTTTCCTTGGTGACGAGTATATAGCTGCTAAAATAAACTACAGCTTAAAGAGTAGAAACAAAAAAGCAAACAACCCAAAGTGTTCCTGTTTTCTTAAATGTTTCCATAAATTATACAGATTTGACTATTTTTGATACCAATTTTCTACAAACACAATTTGTTTTTGAATTGTTAATTGAATGACCTCAATGAAACAAGAAATGAGCTTTTAAAAAATGTTGTGAACCCTCTGCAGGCACCCGGTTGTTATCCTCTGCATAAAGTATTGTGTTCTGAATCTCACCATTGTTTTAAGATATGTCAAAATTGCTGATAAGAAAGAGGGAAGGTATACTGAAGAAAAGCACATCTCAGTTTTGGTTGTAGATTGTTTTAATAAGAACATTCCAGCTTTCCAAATGGGTTGAACTCCAACTTCTATAATCACTACCTGACATGATAAAAGGCCAGTCATTAGATTGCAGTATTAAATAGTATTCTTTTTACAGCCTTTTAAGAGAGAAGCTATTATTATTTATCTGATTTACCTCCTGGTGGACAGGATTACATTCACTTAATAAAATGTGTGATATTTTTAGTTTTTTTTTTAATTTTTAAAGATGTGTTTAGTTCTTCTGTCTCTTTAAGGCTTTGGGCCAAAAACTAATAATATTCATGGATAGTATATGGGATATAAGTAAATTTGTGCATCTTTTCTCATTTTCTCTTTTTATTGGGGAGAGATTATATATTTTTCTCTCTATTGAGTAAAAATAACCTACCACTTTATAATGATCCTAAACAATATATATTATTACCTTGCCCTTTGGATTGTTTTGCTTCTCTCAGTAATTTATATTTCCTGTAAATGCACTTAGAGTTTAAATTATTGCAATACAATTTTGCTTTGGAAACTTTTTGATAGCTGACATGGTATAAAGCTGGCCACTTGCAAATTTTGCGTTTCCTCCCACCCACTTTCAGTACAATAATAGAATTCTCAGAACATACCTATAGAAAGCAATTTGTCCCTACCGCTGACTTTTCTAAAGAATGTATAATTTTGGAGTTTACAGGCACTGTCAGAGTGAATATGCTGGCTTTTGGGGTTTTTTAATATTCACTTGAAAAATTAGGCTTAATGTTTTCCTTGAATTATAACAACTCATGGCAAACTTCTTTATAATCAATTCACAATTACTTTGGCATATACTTTCTTCAAGAACTCTCCCCCCTCTTCCCTCCCATTCTAAAAGCCTGCCTTGGGAGTTTTCTCTGTTGCTTACAATGACTTAAGTTATGCATGGAGGCAACTTTTTAGAATGTCTTATTTCAACTGATTCTAAATATTTTGAATTTTTAAAAACAAATTTATTAAACTTTATAATGAAAAAATAAGAACTAGCAATCAAGAAAGGGAAGAGACAAAAGAATAAAGAGAAAGCAGAATGCAGTAAAGAAAAATAGAAATATAAAAAAGGATGACATACACCCATTTTAAATAGTTTCTTAGCATTTGCAATGGCTCAGTGAGCTTGTCGATCAGAAAGGTCGGCAGACAGCAGTTCAGCAGTTCGAATCCCTAGCACCACGTAATGGAGTGAGCTCTCGGTACTTGTCCCAGCTTCTGCCAACCTAGCAGTTCAAAAGCATGTAAAAATGCACATAGAAAAATAAGGATCACTTTGATGGAAAAGTAGCAGCATTCTGTGTGCCTTCAGTGTTTAGTCATGCAGATCACATGACCACGGAGACGTCTTCGGACAGTGCTGACTCTTTGGCTTTGTAATGGAGATGAGCCCCACTCTCTAGAGCTGGAAACGACTAGCACATATATGTGAGGGGAACCTTTACCTTTAGCTAGCATTATCGATCATCAAATTTACATACATACATACATACATACATACATACATATATTCATAGATTTTCATGGGTACAGGTATACAGATTTTGCCATCATCAGGCTTCTGTATAGTGTTCATCTGTGAGTCAGACTTTTACAGTGATTTCAGATTTAAATTTGGGGCAGCCTATTGCTGTGCCAGAATGGTTTTTTCTTCATCCTGATTGGTTGGGAGTCTTGGTCTGTGTTTATTGGTCTTGGAGTTTGCTGTGTTCTGCTTGATTGGTGTTTCTAATATCTTTTGTCTGTTTTGTGGCTCTTTTTGTATCTTGATTTGTATCTTGATTGGCTGGCAACATTGTGTTACTTTATTGGAGGCCTTTAGTGCAGCTTGGCTCCGGGTAATTGGACGAACACAATACAGAAGCCTGATGATGGCAGATGAGATTCTGCTGAAATCAACTTTACCAACCATTGTTCCATTGTGGGTATTATTGCATATTTCCAAGATATAAAAGTCTTGCTGCCGTTACCACATATAAGAATAGAGTTCCATTCAATTTTTCAAATCTTTTTTTCATCAACACCAACAAAAATTTCTGTGGTTTCAATTGTATATTGATCTTTAAAATGCCCTAAATTAATATATGTATTTTAGTCCAGACTATTTTTTACAAGCCTGGACTTTATGTACTTTAATTCCCAGAAAATACCTTTAAAACCATATTCAGTTTCTCTCATTAGTATATTAGATTTCAGCTAATGATGGCGATGATGAATTTCTATTACATGCTTGTAATTTATAAATGAATATCAACTGTTTAATTAATCATAAAAGCTGAGAAAAATGTATCCTTCCTTGAACATGTAGAGACAAGAAGCATTAAGTCTTTAATTTAGTGATTTTTATTTATGACACTATGGGTCATAAAGTGTGCCCAGAATTTGGATTAAAAATATATTTGAAGCAGACAAAAATGATTTTAAAAAGTTGGAGGTTTTCCTTGGATCTTCTGTGGTATTTTTCATTGAGCAGATTTTTGCAAATACACCTACAAGCAGCTTGTTCAACCCAAACACTGACAGCGTTGATAGAATATACTGAAATGTTATTGCTAGATAAATTGCAAATATGTAGATTATAGTTAAAGCTTCAAAAGTTTGTATCTGTTATAGGTCAAACCTACAATTCAAGTTTTTAATAAATTACTGAGATAGTTTGAGAAGTTAGTAAAGTTATATGGTTCTTTCTAAAGACTACCACTTTTGATAATGCTTAATTTTAACATATTTTCAGAAATTATATTAAATGCTGCTCTGGGTGCTCCAGCACTGGAGGCGATTGGACTAGAAAACTTCCAAGGTGCCTTCCAACTCTGTTATTCTGTTACAACAATATGATATATGAATATATAATAAATTTCTGGTAAAGTGATTGAGATTCATTGTGTATTAACACCTACAATGAACAATATAGAGTTTGAAAAAGAGAACAAGAACTATTTGTACTCTTTGTGGGATAAATATGTCGTTTTCATGGAGTAATTAGCCCACAGCTCAGAGGTTCTGCATGCCTAATCTACTTCTTAAATTCTTATTGTATATTTTGTATATATGTGTTGTAAATAAGAAATTATGTCCTAAATTAGTATCAATGTTGAAACTAAATCTTGGTTATTTATAGTAATTATTGATCCATTTCAGGTTAATTTAAAAGAGTATTAGATTATCTTTCTGGACATAGAATATATTTAATGAGAATAATCTATCTTCATTTTGAACAGAAACTCGAGCAGATAGAACAAAGAAATTGTTTAGACATTATACTGTTGGATCATATGACAGCTTTGATGCTCCAAGGTAAGATGTTTATTTTATTTCATAATGTAAATTGTATATTTTTTCAATACTTAAAAAGTAAACTTTTCATATGTAGACTTGATCTTCAAAACTCTTAAAGCAGTATGTGTTTTTCACTCCCTATTTATAAACCCATTTATTGGTTACATGGCATCTTTTGCTAGGATGGAGAACAGCCAAATGTCTTCCCAGAGTGAACAAAGAATGATGCCATCACAGCCTGTGTTTTGATACATTTTAATCATCAATAGTTTCTCTTACTTCAGCAGGCCAGCTAATTTATCCACAGATGCAATGTTCCTGGAGTTCTCTTATAAATGAAAATTTAGTAATTGCCTATAGATAGTCCTTATGATGGTTGAAGTGTATAACCTACAACATTATATATCTAATCAAAGAACACCTTCAAAAATTATCTCCTATTTTATTCTTCCCATCAATTCTGGAGTTACATTCTAATGCCACATAACATGTCATCATTTTAATGCAGTTTTGGAAAACTTGTTTTGGGGCATTCTGATAATTTTTTTAAAAAATGTTAGCTTGCTGTTTCTTGTGCTGGGTTTTGTGGAAGACAAAATGGCTGGGTGGACTGGACATTAACATTTGAACCACTATAAGTCCATGTATTTGCCATATGCTAATTAAATAAATAAATCTCCACAGACCAGGGGTGGTGGAAAGGTAGTTTCATGTGCAGCCTAAATCCTGTACATGTGCAGATGAGCTTTGCTTGCTCGCCTTCTGCTTGAGCAGCCCAGTTCCTAACAGGCCACGGAGTGGTACCGATCCATGCCTGGCGGGGGGGAGGGGAGGTTGGAAACCCCTGTTATATGATATATTCAAGAATAGAATTTGAAATGGTTTTGAAGACATAGTATGAAAGAGGTATACAATTTTTGGGTGCTTGTGCATTTGCAATTGGTCACAGCCTGAAATAATTTTACCCATTTTCTAACTTTAAGTATTTATAAATAGATTTCAGTGAATTGCACACATGTTAATGGAGGTGTTTTAATAACCTGCCATTAGTCTAAAGTTATAATTGCATGCGCAGTTCAGTTTCAATGTGTAACTTCCATGGCATAATTTGTTTAAAGCAGGTGTATTGTATCTATATTCTCTTTCTCCAGTAATATTAGCATGTAAATGCCATATGTACACTTGAAAAAGAGAATACATTTTGCATATTTTACATAAATATAAAAAGACTTAGGAAACTGTTTACTCTGAACCTATTTTAGAGCAGTTTGAAATTAGAATGGTGTACAATAAAATGGCAGGGTATTTCCTTGTTAAGTACAGCATGATATGCACAGGAGAAAAAAATAGTGAGTATAGATAATATGTCCGCAGCATTTTAATTACAATAAGGTCAATAATTACTGTTGTGCTACAGCTGCCAGTTTCTGTCTCATCTGCTGAGATTTATGATTCAGCTACATCTTGAAAGCTAAAGTTTCTCTGTCTCTATAGAAGGTTGGACTGAATTCCTTTTCCCAAAGTATTGGAGGAAATCTTTGGATCTGGTTTTAGGGGTGCATAAGATGGACTACGATGGAGCAGATTAGTCTGCTTGCTAACATTAGATGCTGCTATGTATTTGTCTACATGCACATAGATTTGGATATATCTTATCTTTAAAGGAACAGATTAGAAACGGCAAAAAATACTCAGAAGGGAATGAAACAAAATGATGAGTATAGATAATGGTGAGGTGGATGGTCCAGTACAGTTAGTTCTCGCTTACTAAATATCTCATTTAGTAACAGTTCAAAGTTATGACAGTGTGGAAAAAAAGTTTTACAACCAATACACGCATTTATAACCATGGCAGCATCTCACATTAATGTGATCACCATTTGGGCACATCATATCTGACAGGCATTTTTGACAATTGACACATCCCGCAATCATTAATTTCAAGCTTCTCAACTGGCTTGTGACAAGCAGAGTTAATGAAGAATGAACAACTCATGGTTCATATGATGCCTCACTTAATGATCATGATGATTTGCTTAAGAACTGAATGTGAAGTGACAGCATAAGTCTGTCATGGTCACTTGATTTTTCACTTAGTGACCATGATCTTTACTGATGGAATTACTGGTCCTAACTATGGTTGCTGAGCAAGGAATACTTAAACAGGCACGGATATCTGAAGCCAAGAAAAAACTAGAAGGAAAGATAAAATAGAAAACAGAACATCTGTAGAGCTTAAAGAGAGTCAGTTGGATAGAAACTGGGAGATTGTGAGTTCTAGTCCTGCTTTGGGCATGACGCCAACTGGGTGAGATTGGTCATTTTTTTAACTTGGGAAGCAGGCAATGGCAAACCAGTTGTGAAAAACCTTGCCAGGAAAACTGCAAGGACTTGTCCAGGCAGTCTCTGAGAATCAGACACAATTAAATGGAAGAGAAAAAAAAAAGAACTTAAAATGTGTCCACATTAAAAACTTTGTTTAAAAATTAAAGGGAACATATTTAATAAAGGAATAGGGAACAGCTATGTTTTTTAAAATAAATGATAAATTTAATAAATAAATAAAACACAATGGAATTATGGAGCTGATTTTATATATATATAAAATCCTTAAGTTTTCCTTAAGTTTTCGTGGGTACTTACATGTGTGGTATTCAGCTTTGTTCGGGTATTTTCCCATGTCATTATAGTTGTGCTTTTAAAGTTGTAGCAACGTTTCGGCAGAATCTTATCTGCCATCATCAGGCTTCTGTATTGAGTTCGTCTGTGAGTCAGACTTTTACAGCTGTTTCAGTTTTAAATTTGGGGCTAGCCTACTGCTGTGCCAGAATGGTTTTTTCTTCATCCTGATTGGTTGGGAGTCTAGGTCTGTGTTTATTGGTCTTGGAGTTTGCTGTGTTCTGCTTGATTGGTTTTTCTAATATCTTCTGTCTGTTTTGTGGCTTTTTTTGTCTTGATTGGCTGGCAACATTGTGTTCCTGTATTGGAGGCTTTTAGTGCGGCTTGGCTCCGAGTAAATGGACAGCTATCATTTATTAGGAAGCTAGGTTTCATCTGGGTGCCTGGTTGGGGTGTGTTTTAGCTGGAGGTATCAGGGAGGATCTGTTTGTGCCCAGGTGTTTGCCTGGCTTGTGGTGTGGAGATTTTTTTGTTTGTGAGTGCAGGCTTCCAAATAATTGACAGTCTGGTAGAATCATCTCTTCTATTCATGCTTTCAGGTCTTTTTTCAAACAATTAGACTGAAACAATTAGTACATAACGTTTCCAACAGAGAACTCACCTAAACAGAAACAGATGTCCTAACCAAAGGATTCAATTATGCTATAGCACCCCAAAAAATCCCTACAGAATCCATCATATGTGCAGTAGAATCCAGCCTAATTAAATTAAATACAGATGAAGCTGATAGAATTAGACACCAAGTTACTAACATCCTATGCACAAGCAAACCACCCAAAAGCAACTTGCACAAAGAGGAACTAAAATCCCTGCAAGCCCTAAAAAATGACAGCAGCATAATCATACTTCCAGCAGATAAAGGTAATGCCACAGTAGTAATGGATAGAAAAGACTACGAAACAAAATTGACAGACCTACTCCAAGACTCCACATACAAACCCATAAACACGGACCCAACCACATATCTGGAAAAAAATAACCAAGAAGAAAATTATAACCAGCCACATGAGCAAAGAGATCCAACAGACGATCATCCCAAGAGAAAAATCTTCCAGATGCCCCAAACTATACGGCCTCCCAAAAATACACAAAGAAGGCATACCTCTCAGACCCATAGTCAGCTCCAGAGGAGCACCACTACAAAACCTAACTAAATACTTAGTAAAACAGCTACAGCCCCATGCTGAAACAGCAGCTTCACATGTACAAAACTCATATCACTTATTGGAAATTATCAAAGATCTACACGTGGAACAAGAAGATCTGCTTGTAAGTTTCAACGTGGTTTCACTATTCACTCAAGTCCCGATAAAAGAAACTCTTGAAATCATCAAAAATAAATACCAACCAGCTAAACGCCTCATGGAACTAGCAGAACACTGCTTAACCAACACATATTTCATATACAAAGGACAAAGATACAAGCAAATTGAAGGAGCCCCTATGGGATCACCACTGTCACCCGTCATTGCAAACCAGTTCATGGAAGAATTCGAATCCAGAGCCCTAGCTAATGCCACCCACAAACCCAAACTATGGTTAAGATACATCGATGACACATTTGTGATTTGGCCCCATGGAAACGAAAACCTAAACAATTTCCTAACACACCTAAACAGCACACACCCCAAAATCAAGTTCACCATGGAAACGGAAACAAACAACAACTACCATTCCTAGATGTACTAATCTACAAAAAAACAGATGGCACACTAGGACACACCATATACCAGAAGAAAACACATACCAACCGCTACCTCAACGCCCAATTCCACCACCACCCAGCACAGATAAACTCCAAAACACTAATCGCCAGAACCAAACGCCTGGCAGACAAGACACACATAAAGACTGAACTATGCACCCTGACTAAAGTACTGACAGCCAACGGCTTCCACAAATGCAAAATCACAGGCCTGATCCACAAAAACACACTGAAACATAATGGAGACCTAGAAGATGAACAGCTGGAACAGCTGTCCTGCCCTACATAAGAGGTACTACAGACAAAATCAGTAAGATACTACACAGGCATCACATCAAGACTGCCTTCAAAACAGACAAAAAAATAGCAGCCATCCTTAGAAACCCCAAAGATAAAATTGACCTGGAAAACCAAGGCATATACGAAGTCCCTGTGCATCATGCCCTGCCACATACATTGGACAGACCAATAGAAGAATAAGTACCCACCTGGATGAACACAAAAATGCAGTAAAAAAGCTGGAACACACTTCCTCACTAGTCCAACACATGAAAGCCACAGGTCATAGCATCAACTTCAATGGCACCAAAACCCTAGCCACTATAGAAAACCCCAGACACAGAATTATCAGAGA